ACTCCTACTCCTACTCCCTACTCCTACTCCTCCTTTTCCTCTCCTTTTCCTCCTCCTTTTCCTCCTCCTCCCCCCCTCCTCTCATCATCAGCATCATCATCAATCAATCATCATCATCAATCATCATCCATCATCATCATCCTCATCATCACATCATCATCATCACTCATCATCATCACCACCACACCCACCACCACCACCACCACCACCATCATGATCATCATCATCAATCATCATCATCATCATCATCATCATCATCATCATCATCATCATCATCATCATCATCATCATCAAACATCATCAGCATCATCATCATCATCATCTCATCATCATCATCATCCTCATCATCATCATCAGCATCCTCATCGTCATCATCATCATCATCAAGCTCAGCATCAGCATCATCCATCAGCATCAGCGTCTTCATCATCATCATCAGCAGCAGCATCTCAGCAGCAGCATCCGCATCGTCGTCTTCTTCAGCATGTCAATGCGTGCGCGATCAGCACTCATCATCATAAACTCCTCATCATCATCATCCACCATCATCATCATCCTCATCATCATCAGCAATCATCCATCACCGGCAGAGCATCATCATGCACAATCATCATCATCATCATCAGCAATCATCATCATCATCATCATCATCATCATCATCATCAGCATCTCATCATCATCATCATTAGCGATCAATCATCATCATCATCACAATCTGTTTCTCGTTGTCTCCTGGTACTACATCCTCCTCCTCATCATCATCTCATCATCATCATCGTCTTCATCTTAGCGAAATTCCATCAATCATCATCACCATCCGTAATCCTCATTTCATCATCATCCTCATCATCATCATCATCCTCATCTCATCAGCATCATCAGCATCAGCATCATCATCATCACCATCACCATCACCATCATCATCATCATCATCATCATCATCATCATCATCATCATCATTCTCGTCATCATCAGCATCCTCATCCTCGTCCTCATCATCATCATCACCATCATCAGAATCATCATCATCAGCAGCATCAGCATCAGCATCTTCATCATCATCATCATCATCATCATCATCATCATCATCATCATCATCATCATCATCATCATCATCATCCTCATCCTCGTCCTCGTCCTCCTCCTCCTCCTCCTCCTCCTCCTCCTCTTCCTCAGGGTCCTCCTCCTCGTCCTCCTCCTCCTCCTCCTCCTCCTCCTCTTCCTCAGGGTCCTCCTCCTCGTCCTCCTCCTCCTCCTCCTCTTCCTCCTCCTCCTCCTCATCTTTCTTCTCCTCCTCCTCCTCCTCCTCCTCCTCCTCCTCCTCCTCAGGCAGGCGCAGCGCGTGGGGCGCGGGGCGGAGGACCTCGCCCTGGAGCCTCCGGAGCACGCCCTTCAGCCGGTGGAACTGCCCCAGCAGGAGCTCCCCGTCCTCCGTGTCGAAGACCGGGTCGTGCTCCTCCTTGACGTGCTTCTTCCGCAGCACGGAGGCGACGGCGGCCGCCGCCCGCAGAGAGGAGACGTTGCCCGGGTCGTCGTCGTCGTCGCTGCTCGGCAGGCTGGAAGCGTCAGCAGCGCCCTCGGCGCCACGAGAACCTCGGGATAAGCAGCTCCGCGAGCCCAGACCGCTCGCAGCGCCGACCCCGCGGGGGCCAGACTCGCCGCCGCCATCTGGCCCCACCAGGAGCCACGACATCGGCACCAGGGAGCCGAAGTACCTGCGCAGGCAGCAGCCCTCGGCGTGGAAGGAGGCCGGCAGCCCGACGGACCTCCCGAAGAGGCGCACGCCCTCGGGGAGCCCCTCGTTCACTCGGGCGCACCACTCCGCCCGCTCGGCGTCGGAGCGCAGCGCCTCGGTGGTGAAGCTCACCACGTCGCAGGCTGCTGTCGCCGGCGGCGGCCCGCCGGCGCAGGCGTCGCTCGCAAAAGACACTCCCGGAGGGCCTCCGCGCCCGGCGTAGCCCTCCAGGCCCTTGACGGAGCCCACGCCGCGGGCGGCATCCACGGCACGCCACAGCGCTGCCCTCCAGTCGGGGGGGGCGTCGAGGTAGCCGATCGCGAGCGCAACCCGCTCTGGCTTCTCGGCAATCGCCAGCCCGTCGGCGGCCGCGGGCCCGGTGCACGGCGAGGCCCGCAGGTGCGCAAACAGACGGTTCTTGGACGGGAAGGAGCCACCTGAGTATCGTTCACCCGATCCCCATCCCCAGCGGCGTGGCCTGAGTCCCACTGGCCGATTGACCCCCCTAGAAGGGGTTATAGGCCGTTCCCTTCGGGTCTCGAGGGGCGTATTTATCTAGCTGGGGTGGTAATCTGGTGGGGGTCTCGAAGGGGACGGGGATGGGGATGGGGAGTGGTTCAACGACACCGACCACCGCAGTAGCCGCACAGGTGCTCCCTTGCCCTCGCCGCCTCCAAGCCGTCCTCCGCCCCCGGGGACATGCCCGCCCGAAGCCCGGCCGGAGGGCGCCGGCCCCGGCGAGGGGCACTGGCCTGCACATGGAGCCCAACATGGCTGCCGACAGAGCGCGCGCGCGCCGTCGTCCGTCGGCCGGACTGTGTCAGCTGCCTTACCTCTCGGTGGTGGCTCCGTGGGAGCTCGGCGGCGGAGGCGGCCAAGCAGCTGTGGTCACCTGAGCGTCTCCTCTTCTCTGGAGCTCTGGGCTGAGATCTGGCCTCAAGCTCCCAGCTCCGTTCCGGCCCCATGATCACCTCCATGGCCTGCGCTCCGCCAGCTCAAACTCATGATTTGGATGTTGCCTGGACCACGTCATCGTCCCAGCACGGATTCCACTGAGCCCTGTCTCTGTCTTGCACGCCTCGTCGAAACTCCACTGAACAACACTGGTCCGAACACGAACGGCAACATTCACAGCTTACAAACCAATCAACACGACAACCCTAACAACTCAAGTTGGGAAGGAAAACCAAATGACTAGGCGTACTGTGCTCGGGTGCATGGTGTACTTCGGAACTCAAGTCCATGCGGCCACAACGGACAACGAAGCACTTGCTTTGCAGGTCTCAAACAAAATATGATGTTCCCCTCTGTGCAAATTCAAAATGCAGTACGCCTGCAGTGGTCTCAGTCTTCTGACATCACTTCGTCCTCTCCTCTGCGCACCACTGAGCTGCCGTATCTTTGGTTGGAGACTGCCACAAGCAACTAATAGATTCATGGAGACTACGATGGCGACTGAGATCGGTCTCGACAACTGACCTGATGACGAATGATGTTGATGTTTCGAGGCGCTCGGGACACCATCGAATTCACGACTCCCGTGGCAATCCGCCCGTGGGTGCCCCACGAGCAGAAGATGCTACATATCTAACGTGGAGTCTCGGGGGTGAGCGCGCAGGCGACGGAGCGATAGCACCAGGTCGCTGAGGAGGAGGAAATGAGCTCTGGGCGTGACCGGAGAAAGTGGCACCACAACTGGAGGCCTTCCGAATGGGGTCGGGGGAGATGGGGTCGTAGGATCGTCAAGCATCGCCGACGCATCGCCGATACATCGGCAACGCCGTCGGCGCTTCGGCGACGACGGCGTGGAGAAAATCGGGCTCCACATCGAGCCGCATCGCCGACGCATCGGCGATGCGGCGCGATCCTCCGACCCCATCTGGCCCGGGCCACACATGGGAGGCTTGCATTACGTTGCTCCCGTCGTATTTAAGGGCCACATCCCAGAAACAATTTCGAGCACCCAGAAAAGTGCCGAAACGGTGTCGAACGAGTAACTCCTCCCAGGGCCCGACACGTCAAAACCCTCAAGCTTCGGTACTTTCCTGGTGCTCGAAATTATTTCTGGTGATCAAGGAAGGCCAAAGTAGGGTTAGGTCGGGCATGTCCCCCTACAGGCGGATTTGGGAAGAAAAATGAAGAAGACCCCAATAGATACCCCAAAGTAGTCAAAAGTAATCGAACATCGTCCCCAGACTATGTTTGAAATATGTTTGAATGTTTTTCCTGTAGAGGGACATGCCCGACTTAAAAAGAAGGTTCGAACATCGTAATGGGACGCACAGGGACAGACTACTACTATGTATCCTCCTTGGAGGCGCGCGCTCGACCCGAACACATTTTGTATACACATCCTGTAGTACATCGTTTCCCGAGCGGCGTGGCCAGAAAGCGCCCGCCACGACGCATAGACTGTAAAATTTCTCGGTGCGCGCGTCGCCCCTGGGGGGGCGACGCACATATCGGAGGTTGGGGGGTGAGTCCGACGTGAAACGGAGACCTCCCCTACCGGGAAATCGACTTCGGTTTCGGGTTCGTGTCGTGCGTGCTGTGCGTGCGTGCGGGCGAGGCGAAGCTGCGTGGGCGGGCGAGAGGAAATCCTCCTGTGGCTGGGCCGCGGCCAGACCAAATGTTTCTCCTCTGGCGGCCGGTGGCCCGCGGTGTCCCGCCAATGTCCCGCTGGTGTCTCGAAATCCTCCTGCGGCTGGGCCGCGGCCGGACCAAATGTTTCTCCTCCGGCGGCTGGCGGCCCGCAGTGTCCCGCCGGTGTCCCGCTGGTGTCCCGAAATCCTCCTGTGGCTGGGCCGCGACTGGACAGGCATCGTCAGAACAACAATCACCACTTTTGCCCCACGCTGCCCACCCCCCAACCTCCTTATCACCCGCAGGGTGGTCGTATAGGTAGTATAAGTATGTTGGGGCGACATCGAACTCAGGGCGCTTATCGGCGCTGTGAATACAATCGGACCTAGGCCAAAGGAACATCCCTCAAGAACCCGGCACCTTCCGCCGGCCAGAACGCTCAAAACCCCCAAAGGTACCCTCCCCAAGAACGCACAAAAGCATCCAACAGGCACGAAGAACATCAGGGCAACCTCCCCGAGCCGACCTCGATCTTATTGGAGGAGGAGGAGGAAGAAGAAGAAGAAGAAGAAGAAGAAGAGGAGGAGGGGGGAGGGGGGGCGAGGGAGGAGGGAGGAGGGAAGAGGAGGAGGAGCCTCCCCGAGAAGAAGAAGAAGAAGAAGAAGAAGAGGAGGAGGAGGAG